GGGATGTGCCCGCAACCCAGGTACATGCCCTTGACCGGAATCGAACCCGGGACTTTTCAGTCTGCAGGCCGACGCTCTATCCGCTGAGCCAAACCGGTTTCGGCACGGTCACAACTTTGATACTCTAAGCAACAGTATAGTCACCCCACGTTTACATTTTCTCCTAAAAATAAAAGTCCTGAACTCACATTTCTAGTTCAGCCAGAAATTCAAGGGCTCTGTGGGCAGCCTGTGCTGCGTGGTGAGCGAGTCTACGCGGCCCTGCGTCCTGGTGTGCTCACCAGGCCTGCCTCCACGAGCTCACGTGCGCCAGCCACTTGGAGCGCCACTTGTTTTAGGGACGGGAAGTAGCATTAGGTTTCCAAACCATAAACATGTCGTCTAACAAAAATTAGCTTCTGGGTTTTTTTAAAATTAGGGTTCCTTATGCAATAATCCTGCTTCATGCCCATGAAGAAGTGCTGCTCTGGGGGCAGCGGGCACGGGTAACACGCCGAAGCGTCTGTCCCGTTGTCCGCACGCAGCGAACTGACTGCAAACCCACTGTGTGCTCTCAGCACAGCCCCCCCCCCCGCAGAGCGCTTCACTCCTGAGCAGCGCTCAGCCGCTGGGCCAGGCGGCCTGAGATGCCCTGGGAAGGGCTGTGAAATGAAGTTCCTGTTGCAACGGCCCTGCCGGGTGGAGCTGCTGGTCTGGGACCTTCGAGGACGCCCCATTGTGCTCACCAGGGTTCTAGAAGCTTCTCACCACCGATACCCTTTCTTACCGGGAAGGTTGACTTCCATCAAGTACTTCCGACACAGGATGTTCGGGTGGAGGTAGCAGTCCTCCGTGATGGCCGGGAAGCGAGGCAGGTCCAGGAAGGTGGCGACGTCAATCATCTGCCTGTAGACGTCCTCGTAGCTGGGCCACGACTGAAACAAAGTCCAGCAGCAGTTTCCGCACGTGAGTGAGTTACAGCGCTTTCTGACCTAAAGTCGCGTGTCCTCACTGAGCGAGGCTGGGGCTGTGGAGGGAAGCATGTGGGAGAACACGCACACATCCACTGTCCTCGCTCAGCACTTTAGACGGCAGTCACACTGAATAAAAAGGGCACTAAGGTTCGATTTGGCTCATAAGACTCTTCCTGGGCGATGTGGTGAAAGCCTAACTTCCTGCCAATCACAGAAGAATCGGGGCGCAGACGACGCTGCGGGTCGGACCCCTTGGAGTGAGTGTGGTCGGACCCGCTCTAACGCAGGGATCGCCTCACTAACCTCCCAGCTCAGAGCTAACACGTGGAGGTCACGTTACATCCCATTCACGTGCTTCCACGGGACTCACACGGATGCCGGACCCCATGTTCACAGCAGCATGACCCGTGAGAGCCAAAAGGTGAACAGCGAAGTGTCCAGGAATGACTGGCTCCCCAGACGGGCCTGTCCATACCACAGGCTACGCGGCAGCCTCAAACAGGAACGCGGCCAACATGGCGCACGGTGAGCCTCCCATGGGAAGATGGGAAGGCCTGCAGGTGGACGGTGGTGATGGCGGAACGTAAACGCATTTAATGCTACTGAACCGCACACTTCAACATGGTTTGCTATGTCATGTATATTTTACCACAATTTTAAGAAAGTATAAAAAAGGAAGCTAAATATCACCTAAAGGAAAAATCTAAGCTAAAGATGTAAAAAATGCAAAGTACATAAATTCTACAAACCTCTTAGCAAGCGAGGCATACATCTTGGGGGAGTCAATGATTAAACCGTAACTATTACACATCCAGTATCAGGTATAGCGAGTGCCTGGCCCACAAGACCAAACACGCTGCGCACAAAGCAGTGCACGCGGGCCGGGCCTCCTGCTCGGGGTTCTCTGCCCAGAGGCCGGGCGGGGACACTGGGCGCCCAGGACGAGGCTGGCAGCGACCTAGTGCCTCAGCTGAGGGAAGCCCGCCGCTTCGGTCCCAGGGAGTCACAGGAGGACCAGCCGCCTCCTGCCTCCGACATCACTTGAAATGGTGGCCCAACTGTCCCTGTACATCGGCTCCGATTCCCGCTGAGCCAGGCCGACGGGGCCGGCCCTGCACGCTCAGCAGGGACCTAACTGGCAGAGGCCGAGAGCACCGTCTGCGGCGCTGTCCTAGAGGCTCGGCCACAGTGAACCCTGTTTGCCTCTGTCCCCCTGGCCTTGCCCAGGGAGGCGAGTCAGGCTCTAACTCTGACCAGGTTCTAACACATGGAAAATGATCATGATAATTACGGCAAATGCTTAATGACTGCGTTAGAATGATCTTATTTTGACTTTTAGAACATGTGTTCGGGCATAGACCACAAAAGGGAAGGGCCGCATAGAAGCTGCCGGTAGTCACACCACATTTTCACTGGGAATCTCTGATGGATGAAGAAGAATGAGAATCCTGGGATAACAAGGTAGAGCGGCATCTGTTCTATACTGGACTTCGGTTATCTGCTAATTAGTCTAACTCTACCTCAAATATTTTGTGGAACAAGCTGGAAAAATAAGAGGCAGAGAGATAAGACTGGTCTGTGCTGCTCAAAGCACCCTCTCTGTCAGAAGCCTTTGCAAGATGCTTGTTAAAAAGGCGCCTTCTGTCCTGGCTGGGTTTGGTCAGTGGTTAGAGTGTCAGCCCTCGGACGGAAGGGTCGCGGGTTCGATTCCTGGCCAAGGGCATGCACCTGGGTTGCAGGTTCAATCCCTGGCCCTGGCTGGGGCAGGTGTGGGAGGCAACCAATGGATGTTTCTCTCTCTCTCCCTTACCTTCCTTCCTCCCTCCCTCCCACTCTCTGAAAATTCAAGAGAAAATCAAATACACATTCCCAGACCCCACACCAGACTGACTGCAGAACCGGACAGTGGGTCTAGGAATCGGGGTTTAGACAAGCTCTCCAGGATATTCTCACGCAAAATAAACGAAGCGAAATGAAGCGGTGTTTCCCAACCTCGCCCTGCCGCCTGAGGAGACCCTCTCGTGGTTTACCCACAAGCCTGACGACAGAGCTGCGCCCACACATTCCAGGGGCGGGTGCGATGCTGTGGGAGGCCGGAGGAAAGGAAACATCAGCTGGTTTCTCCTCCTGGGCCTGGCAGGAGGGAGGTGTGGGGGCGAGAACACCTGCTACGCTGACACTCACCTCGATTCCTCCCAGGAGGACCTCCAGCCTGTCCGAGTGTCACCCTAACAGGCTGCACAAACTACCCCCGGAGCTAGTGTGGCCGCACGGTGAGCACATGGGAGATTGTCCTGAAACTCATCCTGGAAGTGACTGACGGCCCGAAGGCCTTTCCCGTCAGTCCGTCTGTCAGCAGGGACCCAGTTTCACCTGGGCGAGACCGCTCCGGGCCGAGTGAGTCACCCTGGCAGCGAGCCGTGCCCTCGCCCTCGTGGGGCTGGCTGAACCAGTGACACCTTTTCTTTTTACTCATTCAGAGAGATCAGAATGTTGTTGATCAACATTCAAAATCCTGGAGTGGTGCGGGGGGCGGGGGGGACTCCCCCTCCCCCCCCCCCGCCCACAGCGGGGGGGGGGATGACGGCAGGACGGCCTCCTGCGAGGACTGGGAGACACTGCAGGGACCACGGCAGAGGCCTGCTACAAGGATCTGTTTAGAAATTGGTCTGTGGGTTGAGAACATACAAACATGAAGCAAATCAAGGCTGAAAAGGCAGAAGCAGCGCCAGTGGCAGGGAAGGTGGCGTCTGGGGTAGAGACGTGCCCGGCCAGCCTCGGCGCCAGCAGCGACCGGGGATTCGGGGCCTCACAGGCCGGTGTCCCCGAGAGACCAGACGTTCAGTTCTTCCCACCAGAACAGCTACAAGATTTTTGCTGGAAGAAAATGATGCTTCGAATCAGTACCATGCTCCAGAAACCCGAGTCAAAAACGAAACAGCAGGTGAGGCAAAGGCAGGTACAGAAGGAGGTTGTCCTCAGACTAAGTCAAAAACAAAAACAAAAACAAAAAAGACAGAAAGAGCGGCTACCGACCTGGAGTTGGGAATCACAAAGAAAAATACCAAACGCGATTAGCACCCCTGCCCGCCCCTGCGCTTCGCTCTCCGCTCTCCGCCGAAAGGAAAACAAACCCCCATCTCTGCAGTCTGAGGGGGCCTTGCCAGCTGTTTCTACCGGGACAGAGGGGCCCACTTAAATCCGACAGAGCAGCTTAATGGGAAGAACAGTCCACGGAGGATGAAGGTTTAGGGTCTTTAAAGCGCTCTCTTTTCCCGGCTTGTTTTTTAAGGTGTGCTCGGCTTGCTGGAATAACAAAAACAAACTAAAACCAAACAGAGGGAAAGCAGTCCCAGCAGCCCACACACACACTCCCGGCATCATCGCCGCCAGCGCCAGAACAATCGCACCTTTTGTCATTGCTGGTGGAGGCACAGCTGCCGGGGAGCCAGGCCTGGGAGAACGCGGAGGCATGGAAGGAGGGAGAAAATGTGTCCTTTGTTAGCGAAAAGCGTTTCCATTTAAAAGTTTCAACACACTGTGGAAGAGTGGACGCACTTCTGCGAGCAGAGGCACAGCCTGCGCTGAGGAAAAGCTGCCTGTCGGTTACATAAACTGTCATTTGAACGTGAGAACTTCCCCGTTTTCCTGAAAACCGAGGGGACAGGCAGGAGGGATTGTGGACTCTAACCAGCTGAGGCTGAAGATGAGTCTACAGGGTACATACAGCCCTGGCCGGTTTGGCTCAGTGGTTAGAGTGTGGGCCTGTGGACTGTAGGTCCCGGGTTCCATTCCGGTCAAGGGCACGTACCTCGGTTGCAGGCTCCTCCCCAGCCGGGCCCTGGTGGGGCCTCGTGCAGGAGGCAACCCATCCATGTTCCTCTCACCTGGATGTTTCTCTCTGTCTTTCCCTTTCTCTTCCACTCTCTCTAACAATCAGTGGGAAAATATCCTCAGGTGAGGATTAAAAAAAATAACAAAAAGACAAAGGGTATGTACATACAGAAAACATGACACACTGGGCTGGAGTGGTACAGATGCATTTCGTTACAAAAGTGGAAAACCACAGGGTTACATTTTCCGAAGGACCACGAGGCTCTGACGAATTGTCCTCGCACGCCTTAGAAACGAGTGCTGGGAAAGCTTTTTATTGAATTTCACAAATATTTCAGCGCGTTTATTTTCCTTCGTGAAGCAATGCCCTAGGACAGGTCAGGGCACGCCGGAGTTTCTGTTGCACAACAGCGGCCTGTGATAGCCGGCTGCAATGCCTGCCAGAGGTGAGCGCTGCGAGCCTCACCCTTCGCTCCCTGTGGTTCTGCAGCGCAGATGCGGCGGCGAAGCGAACGCTCCCGGCACCTGCTGATCCGAACGCAGAGCCAGGCTGTCCCAGAGCACAGCCACAGGAAGGAAGGCCGTCAGCAGGACGACAAGGCGCTGCTCTGCGGGTGCGGAGGGAGGGTGTGCGTTCCACACGCACTGTGAGCCTCCGCAGCGCGCCTCGCGTCTCCCGCCGCTCGGATTGCCTTAACGGCTGTAAACCTACCAGTCGTCACAAAAAATACGTTTCTATGTCCACGTCTAGTCTGCTGGGCGTCTGTGGCGAGCACATTGCTTTCTGTGAAATACAGTCCTGGTCCTGGGGGTGAGTTCAGAAATGGTGTCGGCTGCACAGACACATCTTATGAATAAACACAAATGTATGGCCCTGACCAGTTTGGCTCAGTGGCTAGAGCGTCGGCCTGTGGACTGGGGGGGTCCCAGGTTCGATTTCAGTCAACGGCATGTACCTTGATTGCGGGCACATCCCCAGGGGCAGGTGTGCTGGAGGCAGCTGGTCGATGTTTCTCTCTCATCGATGTTTCTCTCTCATCGATGTTTCTGACTCTCTATCCCTCTCCCTTCCTCTGTGAAAAATCAATAAAATATATTTAAAAAAACAACAAACAGCCCTGACCGGT